CAGAGCCGAGCGGGGCCGTGGCGGGGGCGGGGCCGGAGCGGAGCCGGCCGGGGGGGCAGAGGGGAGCCCTGAGCCGCCTTCTGCCGAGGGGGCTGCTGGAAAGGAGCCTGCGCTGGGAGGACCGGGGCACGTGGCCCGAGGCTGAGGCAGGGGAGCTTCTTCAGGTCAGCTCCTGGAGAAAGGTTTCTCGCTGTGTTTTTCGGGGGGGCTCGGGCACTGCAATGGGTTGCCCAGGCGGAGCCAGCACGCCGGCAGGTGTTTCAGAGGCACCTGCATCTGGCCATGGCTGACACGCTTTAGTGGTTTGGGGGTTCCTGGGGCAGTGCTGGGTTGACAGTTGGACTTGATGGAATCATGGAACGGGCTGAATTGGGAGGGTTCCACCGGCACCGTGGAGTCCAGCTCCTGAGTTTTAGGCACCACTAAAGGAACTGAATCTGCGTCGAGCTGTTTGGCTCCAAAAACTCTTCTGCCCCTAGTCTACACTGCAAAGTAAAACAAAACAGACCGTGCAAAATAGAGGCCTGTGTTTCCCCCAAAGGGAAGGCAGGCAGTTACAAACCAGGACAATAAATCAAAAAGAGCTTACATTCATGGTCCCCCCAGTTGTATGACACATCAAACCAGTCCGCTGTTACCCATGTAGAACTCTCATCAGGAACCCCAAACTTTCTTGTGTGTATTTGTATAGATATGTATATATACACATACATATGTAAAGATATCTATTTGTGTGTATCTCTAAAAGATTCTGTATCTTTGGAAGTGATATTGGCATGCTATTGTTGTGTGGCAACAAGTGGACTTAAAAGGTTACAACACTTTAGGAGATCGCCTTTCTGCTTGTGGGTTCTACTTTTTAAAGAAGGTAACAAGAAAAGAACTCTTTAGCCAAATATAAGGTAAGGGCTCCTCGCTGCCCGGGGGCCGAGGCGCGCCTTCCGCGCGCCTGCTTCCCTGTCCGTTGTGGCGGCCGCAGCCAGGCGCTGAGTGCCCGCTCCCCGCGCGGGCAGGGCCGCTGGCTCCAGGAGTGGCGGGGCAGCGCCGGCGCCTCGAGGATTCCCGGGATTCCCTCGCCGGTTTTCAGGCAACGCTCCCCGCGCGCTCCTCGCTCCACGGCCGAACGTGCGCAGCCAATGGGAGGCGGTGGAGTGGGCGGGGCGAGGCGGGGATTGGGCGGGGCGGGGGCGGGGCCGAGAGGGGCGGTTGGTGGGGGTTGGGTGAGGGTGGGAGCGGGCGGGGCCGGGAGCGGGAGCGCTGCCGCCGAGCGACCCCCGGG